AATATCTAAAAACAAATGGTACTAGAAACCTGGAGGTAGAATATCTAAAAACAAATGGTACTAGAAACCTGGAGGTAGAATATCTAAAAACAAATGGTACTAGAAACCTGGAGGTAGAATATCTAAAAATATCTATTAATATTGTTAGAGAAAAAAAATGTTTGCAACAAATTTACATGGACATAACTCATACAACGTGACTACATTAAGAACTATCTTATGAGGTTTGTGCATGGTGCTCTATGAATGTAGGTTTCGAAGTAATGGTCGAATATCGGTCTGGAAACAAGTAGACGAACTATTTAATGTGACTGTGATAAATCAACTATTGAGGTTTTTGATGAGTGTTGTGGTTATATTTCGAACATTTAGCATAAGTACTAATCTGTCTGCACGAGTAAATATGTCCATGGTTATCAACAAATTTTAAATTAACATGATCCAGGGGTCATCAGAGTAATTTTTTTGTTCTCATCAGAAGACGAATGTGTTGTCTCTGAAGGAAAATGATTCATTCACAAAGTAACAATGTCAGCGTTTTGGAATGACCCACTCATAGCCAAGATCTTAATCCTATAATACATCTTTGAGATCCTCTGAACTGGGCTATTTTGAAAGATTAGGACACATTCGTCGATTTGTTATAAACTTACTAGGTTTTGGAATAAAAATGGAGTGAAATCTTAGTAGACACCTGTCGGAACATAGTAGAAACATGTCTCACAATACCTTTTCAGTCAAAGACTGTGTTCTTTGGATACAGTTGGTAAATCATTAGATATTATCAGTTTCTACAAAAATTCATAATTTTTCAAACCTTCGAAGCATATTATTAGTCATAAAATTTATATTCATTTCTAATTAGGTTTTAGTGAATATATTTTTTCAGGAACTTCAATAAGTCTCAAACAAAGGAAAAAGTGAAAAGGCTTAGATGTTTATGTTATTGGTCTAATGATTGTTGATTTTTCATCAATTGAAAATATATTGTTGAGAGATTACAACTGTCTTTAATTTCCCTAAAGGTTACTATTTTGGAAAAGATAAGCTAGGAAAAGTCGTTTATGAGAAAAATGATATTGAAAATAATTAAAAACTAAAGTTTTCTGGATAAAATTGAAGTAATTAAGTTTTACGCCCATGTAATCAAATTCTATGTTTTCCAAATGTCAGTCTTTTTTTTTAACTTTATACATAAATAAATACATCAATAAGCCTTAATTACTTTCAATCTCATCTTACACAGCTTATCCTAGTTTACCTTCTACTGGATAGTAGTGTCTAGAGAAACTAAAAACAATTATAATCTCTCAACAGCTTCTCTGTTTTCAGATTGATCTAAAACTATATGACATGGAATCTGTAACACAAATTCGTAACCTCTCCACATTGTCCCCCATTCGAGTATTACACAAGATAGATTGACCTGTAACTTCTCCTGAAAAGGCCCATATTTTCAAAAGTGTCTTCAGTTAAAGAGATAAACTGACACCACATTTATACCACTGTGTGTCTTCCCAGTATATCATTGATTCCAGGTAAACTTAGATCAATATTTACTGTGTTTTCCTAGAATCATTGCAATGCTCTCTTTGTTTTTGAGGGTGGGTGGAACTAAAAACCTCACATTGAACTCTACCACACTCATGATTGTACATGCTATGTTATCCACTAAATACTTACAAAAGATAAGCTGAACCAATGTATATACGTGCTGTAGTTTAGAACCTTTTAAATAGTCTCTTTTGTTGCAAGATAATTGACCTTAAAATAGTACCTTGAATCTGAATAGTTAACTTATTTACAAAAAATCTTCTGTAAGATAAGTTCTCGGGCTTTTCACAATATTCTTTTGTTAGAGGCTAATTAAAGTTCAAAATACTATTAATGTCCAAATTAAATCCACAGGCTTTCAAAAATTGTTTTTATATTCATATATTGATTCATCGTTAGCTTAGATCAATATCTACTGTGTCTTTCCAGTATCTGATTGATTCAAGATAAACTTAAATGAATATCTACTGTCTTCCCAGTATTTCATTGATTCAAGGTAAACTTAGATCAATATCTACTGTGTCTTCCCAGTATCTCATTGATTCAAGGTAAACTTAGATCAATATCTACTGTGTCTTCCCAGTATCTCATTGATTCAAGGTAAACTTAGATCAATATCTACTGTGTCTTCCCAGTATTTCATTGATTCAAGGTAAACTTAGATCAATATTTAATGTGTCTTCCCAGTATTTCATTGATTTAATTAGATCAATATCTTGCAAGTGATTTCCATTGCAAAATAAAACTAGCTAAACTGAAATTATATTGTTAGTACAATCTTGAGACTATTCTTCTTTACAGGCTGATACAGAAACCCGGCCTTAAATCACTAATATAAGTTCTCAGGAACTCCATAGTGTCCTCTATTACTTATAAGACAAACAAAACAATGATTTTTGCACTTGCAATTTTCTTTGTAGACTGACGTTATCATTGTAAGTTCAGAATCTAAATATTTTGTTCTATTGGCACTTTTATCTCAGTTTTTAAAACTAAAAGAGGTTAATTTAATAATCCAAATGGGTAATACTTGTACTTACTTCCGTCTGAAAATCCCTCTTCCCTGATGTTGAACTTTAGTGTCGCATACTCAGTGGGAGCTTCTCTCCTAAATGTAGGTAATCTTTCACTGTTTGGTAAGGATAAGTCGGCATAAACTAAGCTTTCATTAGTATTTGTTGTAGCAGTCTGAAAGTAGAATGGTATAATATTTATATTATGTGCAACTGGTTAAAATTTGGTTTAATGCTACACAAAGTGTTAGAAGTTAATCTTTTCGGTTATTATAGAATGACGATCCTTCATTAAGGATGCTTTGTTTAGCATTGAGTTTCACGACAAATTGGTGTTTCTTTATTTGAAACTATATTCCTTTTTAACATTCTAAGCACAAAACTATTTTTATTCTTCCGACATAATCATTTCGTAGCATTTTCTGCTACATGTTACCCGTCTGAATTGTTTGTGTAAGAATTATTCACATGCTAATTACTTACATGATCACTTACTACTCGTCATTTAGAATACATAAACATTAGATATATTCTCAACATGGTTTGTAAGAAGTTTGAAGTAATTAGATAACACTTAAACCGTGTATTGTACTAAACAGTATTTTTACCTGTATATACGTTTCTCTTAATTGTAAGTATAAAAATATAATCAGAAAATAACTTGAATATCATTCTACGAATTTATCTTAATTAATACTTTGTTTTCTATTATCCATTGAAACAAGAAACAGTTCAGAACCACATGTGAATGTGTTCTACGCATCTTTCTGCTAACGTGCTTAATATGCATTATTTAAACGCAAACCTAAAAATTAACAATTATATATCTCCGAGAAAACAAAACTGGAGAATTTAATGATAGTTTGTTCCACTTATGTCATGAATAATTTAACGTGATATCTTTATTACAAAATGTTTAATGTGCTTATCAAAGTTTGTATGCCAAATAACTTGTAGTTAGTTTCAGACTGGGACTGAAAATTAAGCAAATGTCGTTCATATAAAAGAAAAAATTCTTTTAAAAGTTATTTTTTATGTAAGCAGCCGTTTATTGCCTGACGCGACTATACCTTTAACCGAATAGCAGGATTACATTACATCTAAAGGTGCAAGCTTGTAGCGACTATACCATTAACCGAACAGCAGGATTACATTACATCTGAAAGTGCAAGCTTGTTGTGTAGCGCCACATCCGAGAACCTAGAATCCCAAATTCGATATTTCAACCACCAGGACACGCTCGGGTTCGTTAAATGAGACTGGTCATTATTTCAATTTAAATGTATTACAATGTGCTATTGAAAAAAAAAGTACGTACCTTCAGAACTTACCCGCGGAGCAAAAATAATTCAATATTAAAACTAACTGTCCAAGTAACAGAATCTTTACAGTCATTGCTTTTATATAAATTAACCTACAGTAACAAATAACATAATTTACCAATTCGAATTTCATTCTGTTTATCAAATTTCGTAAAAAGAAAACTTTTTTGGCTGTTTATATTCTCAGAGCTGTAATATACTTGTTTGACACATTACAAACCTTTGTATTGGTTGTTTCTGCCACTGAAGTATTACATGCTGCTGGCGCCTTAACTGTGTTCTGGGAATCTGCAGAGGCTGACACGCCATTTTGAATTTCGTTTTGGCTTTCATTCGTAACTCCAGTAGACGATGGGATGTTAGGGTTTGAAACAGTTTTTGTGGGAGGATTATTAAGTGTATTTGTGGTAGATCTATGATGACTTGAGCGATTGTGAACTTGCAATCGAGACGGTAATGTACCATTACCAGTCGAAATAGCAGGTGATGTCAGACTGGCAACTGACCGAGGGATATTCTCATAAACATGCACGAGATCTTCTGATAACTTTGTGCGCATGCGCACAGCAGGAATAGGAGTTTTATTAGGCTGAAATATATCAAACAAGCAAGCAAAAATCAAAGGTTTGAACAAGAAACATAACGAAAAATTAGTAGTGATAGCACGACTAAAACAGAATTCAGAAACCTAAAAACTAATAAAATCATTTAGTAAAAGTTGACCAACAAACATCACTCGTATTGCATCATTCCCGCTGTAATACACCATGCTTGGAACATAAACACGTGGATACGTAGATTAAATGAAATGAATATGAATAATACGGAAATAAAATGAAATACAGACATAGATTTGAAAACGATAAAAAAAAAACCTATACGGCTATAGCAAACAAAAGCTTTCAGAAACGAATAATTTTAAGGATCTCATTTTTTTCTTTCTTACCTACGTGTTTGAAATTCCTAAGGATACGAAACCACATATTATTGCATTATTTTCATAGTTAAATACAGTAAACAGTAATAAAGCAGAAATAAGCCAAATTCATTTTTTCTTCAAATATTTTATAAGGTTTTTATCCCTACAATTTTTTATTGATAGTACTTCTTTGTTTGTTTTGTTGACTTTTGCGCAAAGCTACTCGATGGAAATATGCGATAGCCATCCCTAATTTTGAAGCTAGAGATTTAGAGGTAGGGCAGGTAGTCAACAACACACACCGCCAACTTTTGTCAGACCGAACAGTAGGAACTGAGCATCACATTTTATGGCCTGAAAGTGCGGAACGCGACTTCTATTTGCGACAACCAGGAACCTCAGCCCTTCGGTCCATCACGTTGCCCACTGGACCGTGCTCGGCTCAGGCAGTATTTACAACATATATTAATCATGTCTACATAGTCTTCTATGTTATTTTTTTTAATCAGTAAAATTTTAATATTGTTTAACGTCCTCCGGTGAGTCAGCGGTAAGTTTAAGGGCTTACAATGCTAATATCTGGGGTTCGATTCGCAGTGATGGACCGAGCGCGGATATCCAACTGTGTAACTTTGCGCTAAAACAACAAACAACAACTATATTGTCTTACAGTTCTCACGTCTCAAAGTAAGAGTGGATGAGGAAGATAACATCACTGAAAGAATACATACATACATACCCCTCTAGGAAATATCTGTGAAAATACCATGTTTTCATACATCGGTCTATATCTCTTTTCGAACCCTGTTTGACCGTTTTCTGTACTTTGGTAAGATGTTTTTCTTTTAGAAGGACTATTAGTATCTGTGAAATAAAGAGACGAATTTTCTAAAGAAAAATTCTATTAAATTACAACAGTTGTGGACTGAAAAAGTTATGAGAGTGAAAAACTTTAAAGAGTAGAAAGAAGAAAAAATAATGGAAACAAAATTATTTACACGAACTCTCATTCTCTTTACGAAAGATTGAAATCCGCACTAAACTGTATTGAAAATTACTCCAAAAACCAAAAACTGAATTTAAAATAACTAATATTGTTATATAATAAAGCACACTGGCCCACTTTTTCACGCTCCAAGTAGATAATTGTTTTACATTAAACTTACATAATATTATAATACACAAATCGCATGATCATAAAAGTTTTAATTGTTGTTAAACATGGTAAACAAATATATTTAGTACTACAATATTAGGAGAGAACTAAACCAAAAACTGTAACATTGGGATGTTTGGTTATTCCTTGATGAGTACGGCTCGTATATATTAGTATTTTTGAGGGGAAAATGGAGATGGGCAAAGAGTATGAATAGAAATTGTAATGTGCCATAAAGTTCAATAATCAATCTTTGGAGAAGGTTGAAGTTTACAGGGTATGAGTAAAAACTGTAATGTGCTATAAGGTTCAATAATCAATTTTTGGAGAAAGATGAAGTTTACAGAGTATGAGTAAAAACTGGAATGTGCTATAAGGTTCAATAATCAATCTTTTAAACTTCAACCTTCTCCAAGGATTGGTTTTTGGACTTTATGGCACATTACAGTTTTTACTTACACTCTGTAAACTTCAACCTTCTCCCAGAGTGTAAGTAAAAACTGTAATGTGCCATAAAGTCCAATAATCAATCCTTGGAGAATGTTGAAGTTTATTCTTGAAAATTAAATTATTATAAGTTTTAGTGAAGATTAATGTGGAGAATGTTTAACTTAGAATGATGGTAATGCTTGGAGACGGCTTGAAAGGGTAATGAAGAAAAACTTTAATATGAGTTTAACATAACAGCAAATGTACAACGTTTCGACAAGGTGTTGTCATCATCAGGTACAAGCCGTCTCCAAGCATTATTAGTCTCAAAGTGGGTTCCTCGTCATCCAATTAGAATGATAGTGTTTGATCTGTATTGAATTAATCAACACATCGACTGACAGCTAATAAGCCAGCATTTTCTTCTCAGTAAATGAAATTCAAGTATTTATTTTTATAGTCAGCACTATCTTTTGATATAACTTTTGCCATAAAACCTGCAATAACGTTAGTGCTTTATAAAACCGATTCAGCCAAGGCTTTTAAGATGCATTAGACGGCACCTTAATCTAGTTATCTCTGGAACACGAGTAACCTTTGAGCTAGTCAACAATTTTGAAAATCCTGTCCTTTTTTTATATTTTCTCTGTTATCAAATTTTGACTTCCTTTGTCCTACCAGTTTACTGGCCTTTAGCACCGAATAAATGTTTTGCTTCAAATAAAAACTATAAATTATTAACGCTAAAAGAGAACTTTCTGTAATGAAAATATACAATCTGTTGACCATGGACTTTCGTAAAAGCGAGGTGATAACTGCATTTTGACATTGCTTGGTACTTTGTAGGTAGTGTGATGCCACCGAAAATTGACAGTTTTTCGGAAGAGTATGTAACAGCCTTTTTCAGAGGTAAAGTATTCATACAGTCATATCGTAAAGATGTGTTCAGATCGGGGATTTGGAATTTTCAAGCTGAGGATATCCCTTGTACTTAATGGCATTGAAAAACAAAGGAATGAGGATCAACTTGGGAAACAGGACGATCCATAAAAAGAACTACAATAAATCGTACCCCCCGCTGTGGTAAGCAAAGTGTGGCGTCTTGTAACAGGTGATAATCGACAAACAAGAAAGTGTCAGACGCAAGAGCCGTCCACGTGCCCCAAGCAACATAACCAAGAAGATTCTCCAGATGGAAAAGCGCCACATGATTCTTCCTTGACATATCTATTCAATCTCCGCATATGTCAAGTATTAGGAGAATAAAACTGTAATCATGCTATTCCGTATGAACACATAACGATCATGATATCGGACGCAGAGCCTATGAATTTCTGTGCGATTGAACTTTGTAAACTGGCGCTGAGAAAACGTCGTCCTAACACACGAAAATGATTATTGAAAGCAAGCAGGGATGACTGACGGGCTTTGAACATGAAGCTTCCACTACGGAGCCTTTTGCAATGGAAACTACACTGAGGGGCTATTTTCAAGGTGCAACATTCGTCGGATGGAGCATGACCGGGTGGGACGACATGACCTTTAAGGTCGTGGAGAGTCTCTAAAATCGTTTTATTATAACGTACCTAGTTTCTATATATATTACAATACTGCACGACAAATGGAACAACTTTCAATTTATTCAAATAGATTACTCACAAAAAGACATGCTAAAGGTATGGATATATGGGAATTTTTATGTTCCATAAATATATTCTTAGTAATATTGTTTTGTGTGTGTGTGTTAAACAAAAGTATCATACAAGCTATAACTCTGAGATTACATTCACTCTCAGTACTAATACAAATTGTATCTACAACTTCAAAGCTTTATAAATGTTTCTGAGGTGTAATTTTAATACATATTTATCAAAGACGTAATGATTAAACGACTGTCGTGGTCAACTGTGTTTCCTTCAGATTCATCAGCATATTGTAAACCCTTATCAATCTCTTAAAATCATGAATATATAAAGGAGAAAGGGTTAAGATACTGGCATTCATAAATACAAATCTATACTTAAAAAGTGACCACCTTTTGGCACAAAAGTTAAAGATCATTTGATATACTTCATACCGTAACCTAACTTACCTGCAACTGTCCTCCGACGCCTTCGGGAATCTTCGACCCTCTTGAAACTGACCACTACACAACAGAAGCAAAACAAAGCATGCAAGAGCAGCATTCAGTGCAGATATGTTGGATTACATATACATTCTATTAAACAGTTCGGTGCTATTTGCAATAAACAAATTATAGAGTCGAAGCCGGGACTATTTTATAGATATAGGTATATTAGCTCCGTTTAGCAGGTGGACGTTACACATAAAGCATAAATATTGCATAAACGAAAAAAAAAATGTATAAAAAAAACATCAGTTAATAACATGATTTCACGTAGCAAGCATGCAATTGCAGAAATAATAAACATAAAAACAATAACTGTTACTTTATTTAAAATAAAAATAGAACATTGCTATCCTGTAACGTGAGTAAAATTATTAATTTTTTATCTTCCCAAATACGGATTCCCGTATTTCTTTTTAATATGCGTTACGTATAAAAAATATAAATATTCAATAACGCATCCATCTTGTTCTTGAATTTCATTTACCAATATCTGTACGACCAATATTTTTCAAAAAATGTTTAGCAGTTACAAATCTAAAGCTTATTTGGAAAAGTAATTTTATATGTTACGAAAAATGTTTACATAATACTAATATTCAGTCTTTAATTAGCCCCCCAGTGGCACAGCGGTATGTCCGCGGACTTACAACGCTAG